CTAAGTATTGCTAGAAATATGGACACTCCAACTTTTTACATGTGTATCTAGCAGGGATGCTTCATTCATGTCTGTCTTAGTGGACAGAGCTGGGTGTGCTGCACAGGCTGAGGAGACTTTATAGTGGAAATCAATCTAACCCATTGTTTTTCCATCTCTTCCTTCCTCCACCCATGTCGTGTCCCTCCCTCTTGCTAGGGAGTTTTCCAAAGAAAGAGAGAAGGCTAAGGCTCGAGGCGATTTCCAGAAGTTACGGGAGAAACAGCAGCTAGAGGAGGATTTGAAGGGATACTTAGACTGGATAACTCAAGCAGAAGATATTGACCCAGAAAATGAAGATGAAGGCATGGATGAGGAGAAGCCTCGAAACAGTAAGCAACTTTCTTCTCTCTCTCTCTTTCTTTCTGTCTCTGTGCTTTTAGCAAGAGAGTCTGTGCCCATCTGCTGTAGTGCTGAGATGGCTTATAAGGAAGAACAAGTTCTTCCTGAGACACTCACTATGCTTATATGTGATTCCAGTTTAATGCCTGCAGGAAACCATGGGAAGCAGAAATACATGTACCATAACTGATATTCTGCAGATCCTCAGTGTTTTGTCCGTGTTACTGACATAAGATCCTGGTATTAAACAGGGGAAAAAAAGTCAATACTTGCTGTTAAAGTTCCCTACTGAGAAAAGTTTTAAAATATACATGGGTCTCCTATTCATTTATTTAATTGCAGTTCAGTGTTGCAGGTTGTTTACACATGGTTGGTCACTTTGAAAGAAAAGGTGTTTAGGCAAAGCAGTGCTTCAGTGTGGGAGAAAGGCCAAATCCACCCTGTTGTATATTAAATGGGCCATCTGTAAGTCCATTGAAATTAGTGGATTTGTGTTTGCTTTTGCCAGGCTGGAATTAAGCTCTCAGACATTTCTTTTAAGGGTGTTACCTCTTATTCTTCTGTTCTGGAGTTGACAAAATGTTTATACAAAGTGAAAATTCACCAACGATCTCTTCTTACTAAAAGTCTTGAAGAATGAAGGGCTTGAAGAAAGCAGTTGCTTCCCTGCATTTCATTACCATCATTGAATCTTCTTCCTCCACCTCCTCTTTTACCATTGCAGGCTGTGTAACACTTCACAAACACTTGGTAGTTATCACTGCTGGGAATGCACTTGGGAAATGTCAGATTTGGAACCTTTCCACAGCTAGCCAGTTAATGGACACTGGCTCTACTCTTAGCTTTCATTACAAGAATGTGCATTTTCTGAGGCTGATTTTGGAAGAGAAGACATGAAACATCTCCCTAGAGATCACCCTTCCTACCAAGTAACCAAACTCCATGGGATCCAACCAGGAGCATGTATTCTAGTAGTAAGAAGATTGGACATGGGAAAGTTGTGCCTTTCTTGGTTTAGCAAAACTTTTATCAGATGTTCATGACCTTTTGGGGAGTAAGCACTACTCCCTGTTGCTGCCAGAACATTTAAGTTCTTTCAGAAAAAAAATGCAAATGTGGGATCATTAATATCAGGGTAAACCCATGATACTTACATATCTGGACTTGAAGGAGTCACTGTGGTGACTTGCTCAGACTTTCCCCAAATGGAGTTATTTTGATTTTTATGATGGTGTTCTAAGAGATCATATAGCTTACTTTCTCAATTTAACCTCAGTAGTCATTCAGAAATTGATGTGTTATTATTAGCCAGAATGTGCTGTTCTGTGGCATACAGTGCAGAAATATGTCAGATGTAGATTCATTGCATGTGCTGGGCAGAATGCTCAATTCTTATTTGAGCTAACAAACTCCTTTTAATGGTGATGATGTTAAGAGCTACATCAGAATAATAAAAAGAGTAAGAATAATGTTAAGAATAGCGTGTCTCCAGCTTGCTTTCACTTCTTCCTGTTCTGTTGAATAAGGTGAAGTTTGTAAGATGTGGTTCATAAAAATTAGTCCACTTACAGCTGACATGTTTTCTAGAGTTTCTCACAGTTGGCTGTTAATGACAGAATTACCTACTGTTAGCAAACTTGTTCCCCATTTCTTTTCCAAACTATTGCTGAGTGCTGTGTCAGGTCTGTGGGCAGTGGCTGTTGACTAGTCCCTCGTACACAGCACATTCTCTATGACATTGTGGCTTTGGAACACATGCTCTGTTTTTATTACATGCAGTCTAGGCTTGGAAACAACCAGCTGCAGTGCCTAGCAGAAAACAGTAGAATTCCACCTTCATTGAAAGGAATTGCTCAGAACACAAAGGAAGGTCGTGGGCTGATTTTGGCCACATACAAATGAATAGCAGAGACCAAGCAAACAGGTCACTCCATGAAGTTTATTTGCCTGTTCTTATGATATATGTCCATCTAGAGCAGGGAGTATTCTTAGTGCCTGTGGCCTGCATCTCCTGCTAGCTTTGGTGTACTGTCCAGTGCTGTACCTTAGTCTTCCCACCACAGGCTTTTCTGACTGTGTGAGTAAAGGATGTCTCTGAACCATCTCCACCCACTCAGGTTCTGCAGCCTAGTTTAATAAGCAGCTCTGACAATGCCTTTCTGCTGTCCTGAAGCTGAGTCACATTGCAGCTGTACTGCTTTGGGGACTTGATCGATCTGCCAGAAATTGGGTTGAAAGAACACCGAGACAGAAAAACTGAGTAGAGTCCCTTTCCTTAGTAGCTTCAGCTCAAGATAATGCCACAGAACAGGTACTGTGAGTAAGTGACAGGCTGTTTTGTTTGGGAGCAGTTATTTTGGTGTGTTAGCTACTATGTTGAATGTTTTGGCATTCATGCCAGCAGTCAATCACTGGTAGGGTTAAACTGAGGGAGGAAGATAGGATTAATTCTCTTCCAAAAACCATCTACAAAATAAGCTTCAACTATAAGGGACAGATGGCACAGTTGTAAATCCCCTCAGGAATCCCTTTGGCTTGAGTGCTCCCAAGACATTTGAATCCCACCTACCAGCAGTCCAAGCTTGCATCAGCAAGACTCCAATGTCTTCCTTGTCTTCTTGTATTTAGCTCACTTTCCCCATATGCACCTTGAGTGTGCTTTTCCTTCAAGTGCTGTTCAAATCTCACCACCTCCTGTCTCTAGTACAGTGTCCTGAACTCCACAGATGAGTGTTACTACCCCTTTCCAGCACACTTTGTTCAGTGATTAATTCATGTTGACTTTTAGGGTGTTATCCCTGTGACCCTCAAATAGCAGTTCACTGAAGTGCACAGGGCAGTTCAGCCCTCCTTAAGCTGCTGTCTTAGCTCAGTAAACTTCAGGGGTGGCTTTAGCATCAGTTCTATAGTGCTGATGCTAAAGTAGGTGCTCCTGCCTGAAGTCTGACAGTGACACACCATTGCTTTAAGGAACCCACATCAGTTTTTGCTTCCTTGGTTTTCCCTTGGAGGTTGTTTGGAGGCTTGGGGTGGTTTACTAAAGAATATCAGAATAGTTCAGGAGTTTAATTAAAATATTCTTATTAAACTAGAGTCACAGCTAATGTAAGCTCTCAGATTCAGCAGTTTACACCATCTGGGCTCTGACACAGGTAGTCTACCTAAACTGAATCATCCCAAACACAGAGAACATATGTTTCCAGTCTCTTCTCTGTCCTTGGCAGCTGCAGAGACAGGTTTTGCTATCTTCTGGCTCTGTAGAGAGTGCTGCCCTCCTGTCAGCATGGGAACTGCCTCCTGTAAAGCAGAGAACACAAGGTGGAAGGGAAGAGGAGTTCACTTCCATCCATTTTTTGGTTTGTGACAGTCCTTAGGGCATCATTGGTCATGTTTTGTATGTGCCACTGCTTTCCTGAAGCTGTCAAACCTTGCCCTAAGTCTCACTGGGTGTTTACAGCCCTTAATGAAATGATCAACAAGTCCAAGGGTTACAACAGCGATGACTTTAGTGAAGGAAAGGGTAGGAAAGGAAGATAAATGCAGCCAGTCAGATAACCTGTGCATCCTTCAGCCTTGGCATTCTGCTGAGGTACTTTATTACTGGTCGTCATTCACATGGATTGAAGGACATTCCCAGAGCAAGCTGAATTAATTCTCTGTGTTTTGGGCAAGTACTATGTTTGAGGCATTTTTTCCATGTTTGCAAATATGATTTTGCCATTATGACAGATATGAGGTGGGAAACATGAAAAGGCTTTGGGGAGCTGTTTGTG